TGACGATCGTAATTCGTATCCAGAGAGGCGAGTTCGTGGACTTTGATTTTCTGTTGGAAGTAACAACGGGAGTTGTCCACTGCCGTCACCAACGCCACCCAGCTTCTCCTCGCTCTACTTGGATCCGTATCGCCGCTCGCCGCCAGCAGGCCGGACCCTACTGGGAGCCCGGTGCAGTGACGACCGCCATATGCGCATGCAGCACCAACAGCAGGTGAACCTGACTGTCCTATGGGCCCTTCTCGATCGCGTCCAGAGAGGCGAGTTCGTGGACTTCGATTTCCTGCTGCCCGATACAGTTGCAGTCAGTCCAGCTCCGGCGACGTTCCAACTCCGTAGCCCCTCATGACATATGTTGCTCTTCTGGCGCACTAGCATTTATTTGAATCCGAACCCAGAACTGCGCTTCGTAGGCTGCATGACGGTAGCACTTGAGTTGAGACCTGGACAGTGTTCATGAATGGTCTGTGTTCCACTGTTCCTCACCGCGTTTCACGAGTGCCTGTGGACGTATTTGGCCACGATCGTCGCGGCCAATCGCCAGCTTTTGCCACCTAGAAACTGGACGTGATCAATACTCAATCTGCGGACAACTGTTTCGTCCTTTGTGGACTCATCAGCGCAGCACAGAGGGAATTAAGCCGAACCTGATAGCAATGGAAAATAAAATAAATCTCCAAAGCCAGGTTATCAATATCAACTTGTGGCAACTGCGCCTCGCGGTGTACTGGAACAGCACGACCCGCCTGCCAGCAGTGCAGCTCAGTGCACTCGCCAGCATTTCCGTGCGCATTTCGTCCTACTCACCAGTACAGATCCGCATCACGTACCGCAACCGTATGCCGCTACTACGAGTACGGCGCTTGCACGCGTCAGCTCAGGCAGTGCTACCTCCAGTGCCGACAGGAGCATCCCAGGGCAAAGTGTAAGGCCTCATCAGTAACTGTGTAAGCACTCAGTTTCTCACTTCTCAAAATTACTGGACTCACATCCTGATCCTATGCTCCGGAGGTATGTTGCACATGGTCGTAATTGTGGAGTTGTGGTAGGTTTCATCGGCAACCACTCAACTAACTGGGATCCATTGAATTTAACACGGTCACATGCTAACCCAGATTATATTTCTGCGCAACGATCCGTTTCTTGCAGCAGGCTTGAAACAGCTGGCCGATCCGTTTCTTGCAGCAGGCTTGAAACAGCTGGCCCGTGTTCTTCACCCCCTTTCTCGCCTCTGTGCTGTTCCGGCGTAGATGCGGTTCCTAGACGAACGGGAAGTTACACACGACACACCCTTTGTAAAGCCTGGAGGGTCGAAGTGTCAACGATTACATTCCAGCAGACCGTGTCTCTCCACAATGTCAAGATGACAATGCTGCAAACATGATTAGACAATTGCTCGCCCCGCTGTATCTTGCTAAGCTCAATGTTAAAAGTGCATTCTGCCGAATTCCCGTCTGCCCGGAGGAGTGGCCCTTGTTGAACCGCTGGCAGGATCAATACTGTTATGAGAGCGTCCTGCCCTTCAGACTGTACTACGCTCCAGGCCAGCTATATGGAACTCTGTCGCATCCGCCAGTGAATGGATTGTGTGCGGGCAGTTCGCACTCCCACGCCTGTTGCATTACGGGGAATACCTCAATTAATGTTACTTCCTCAATGCATGCTCTGGACTTGTGTTACCTCGCCAGCAACTCGCTATTCTGCTCCGAGCGTTTACATACCTCGGTGTTTCTCTGGCCCCAGCAAAAGTGGAGGGTCCAGCTCAATTCCTGACGTTATTGGCATCTTCCCATTACGGGAAATACCTCGACTAACGTTTCTGTCTCCATGCATGCTCTGGACTTGTGTTAGCTCGCCAGCAACTCGCTACTCGGCGCCGTGCGTTTACATACCTCGGTGTTTCTCTGGCGTCAGCAAAAGTGCTTCCTCGATGTATGCTCTGGACCTGTGTTAGCTCGCCAGCAACTCGCTACTCGGCGCCGTGCGTTTACATACCTCGGTGTTTCTCTGGCGTCAGCAAAAGTGGAGGGTCCAGCCCACGTCCTGACGTTTATCGGCGTCATCCTGGACACCCGCGCGCTCACATCAGTCTGCCGATGGACGAACTTGCCAAGCTTCACGACCTCCTACGGGCCACTCTCAACACAGCTTCAACTACCCAATGTCAACTCGAGTATCTTTTGGGAAAGCTCTCGTTTGCTACAAGAGTGATAGTCCCAGGACGCACATTGCAGATTGTGGTCACTTGCCAACTGGTACCGGCAGCCGTATTACCTGATCAAGCTCTCCGAAGAGTGCCTCAAATACCTTCGCTGATGGCCTTAGCTCCTGGAATAGTAGAACGGCCGGTCCTTCTTCCTACACCCTAAGTGGACGCCGTCCCCCAACTTGCTGCTATTCACTGATGCAAGTGGTGCACTTGGCTGGTGCGCAAACAATTGCAACCGGGGATAGGGCAATGGACAGTCAATCAAGCAGACCAGCCAATCGCAAAGAGTGGTTTGCAATTGTGGCAGCACCTGGAAAAGCTAGCGGCACCAGCAGCAGATGCCAATCGATCGGCTTTGCAGCAACTGCGAAAATCTTGCTCATCAGTTGTGGCTATGGCCTGGCGTCATACACCGGCCACTCGTTTCGAATCAGCTGCCCGACTCGATATTCAGAGAGGCGGGAAGGTGGAAAGCCATGTCTGCCCGAGTAACATTCAGAGGCCACCAGCAGCCAAAGCATGGGTGGCTGTGGCAATGGCCTCAGCCCATGATATCGAGATCCTGTTAGTCAATCGTTACCGAGCTTGCACTGCTTACAAATATCACAGGTAGCTGCACTTTGTGATCCGCTCTGGGAGTGCCGATTTATGGAATATATGCTCTCAACTGGTTATGCATCTCTATATATCTAGCATTTGGCGGCTCTATTCAGAGTCATTGGCGGCTCCATGCGGAGGCATTGGCGGCTCCATGCGAAGTCATTCGGCGGCTCCATGCGGAGTAATTGGCAGCTCCATGCGGAGTAATTCGGCGGCTCCATGCGGAGTCATTCGCTGGCTCCACGCGGAGTCAATTGCCGGCTCCATGCGGAGTCATTCGCCGGCTCCATGCGGAGTCATTCGCCGGCTCCATGCGGAGTCATTTGCCGGCTCCATGCGGAGTCATTCGCCTGCTCCATGCGGAGTCATTTGCCGGCTCCATGCGGAGTCATTTGCCGGCTCCATGCGGAGTCATTTGCCGGCTCCATGCGGAGTCATTCGCCTGCTCCAAGCGGAGTCATTTGCTGGCTCAGCTGCGAGCCATTATACCAGTTGCTCGAATCGGCACTCCCAGCTTAATGCAAAACGCGGTTGCTCTGTTGTGAGGTGGGGGGATGCTAATTTGAAAACAAATAATTAATCCTTGGCTCTCCATTATTCTCTTTCGATTCTTGTTTTTTTTCTAGGTATTTTCTTGGCGTTGTGTGGGTGTGTGCATGTGTGTGTGTGTGCGTGCACAATAATTTGGCAACACTACATGATTGAGATATTGTAATTCGCAGCGTCTGCAAAGAGACCACTTGATTTGAGGATGGTGTTTGTAGGGTTTTTCATGTAATGAAGTGGCTGCAGTGGCGCCTCAATACTTCTATTTTATCTTGAGAAGTGAATGATGTAAAGGATTAAAGGGAGAGGCCGGTTTCTGGTTAATATTCACTGCTTACAGCAGATCCTATGTCTAATTTCGAACTCTGGATAGGGGATGCCTAATTGGCTGGACTTTATACAGGGAGTGTTTTCCACATAAAGACTCCTTATAGTTGATTTCAAAGTTTGGACTCCATACAGTTGATTTTGGACCAATGGACTCTATATAGGGGTGAAGCCAATTGGCTGGACTCTATACAGGGAGTGATGCCCATCTAAAGTTTGAGCTCACAGTTGATTCCAAGTTTGGACTCTGTACAGTGGATTTTGGACCAATGGACTCTATATAGGGGTTGGACATCATATAGGGGCTGGACGCTCTACTGAGTCCAACATATATATCCATGGTTACGTTGTGGTATGACTCATCGATGCATCATGCATGATCATCTGCTTTGTCTTTGATCTTCATCATTCATGCATGCACGCACACTAATGTACACGTAAGCCAATGCACGCACGCGGGCACGTTTTGCTGATGACAGCGATTTCGCGATCGCTGTTGTTGTTGTTGTTGTTGTTGTTGTTTTCTGGTTGATTTGAGAGTATGGTTGAAACCAATAAGTAAATACAGTCTTCTAGAGTAATTGAGTTGTCTCCACGAAAAGGCCAGGAAATCGCGCTACAACAGGGGTCTGAAGACCGCGTAGTTTTTAGTTGTGGTCGATGATTTAACACGCCATCACTCCGCGACAGCTGCGAGGAGATCCCACATGTTCTCCTTTGCAACCAAGGGGACATTGGAGTGGAGGCTGCTGAAAAAGGCGAGATCTTCCCCGTTGAGGTATGGGCTCCGCGGTGGCTGAAGGTGTTTTGCAGTGTTTTGTTGGCAATGTGCGTGGAGGACAAAAATGCAAAACATCTTCGCTTCACTAGGTTTACAGCACGACACTTGTGCCTTGCGATGACTGTCGGCTTTTCAGAATGTGAATCATGCCGTCCTACGATTCCAAGATGTCATCTGTTGGTGTTTCAGGCTGACAGAGCCAGAGAGAGCGACAGAACAGCAGCGAAAAATAGTGCAAAAGTCACAAAGTTTTTGTTTCCGGAGGAAGTACGTCGTCGCATGTGTCGACATATAAAAAATTCGTAGAAAGATAGAGAAAGAACAACAAAAGAGCAAGCAACAAGTGTCAACCTTCTCTTTCAAGGAAGGACCAACGCTGGGCAATAGTTGGGAATTCTCAGTGTTGAATTTCTACAGGCCGTCGATACTTAGAAAATCACGATTCCCCGCCATGGAAAATATAAAAAAAGTCTTGATTTGGGATGCTGGGGCTTCGGCTGCGCATAATGGATCTTAGTTGGATTCATCAGTCATTACCTGCATCCTTGCTTTGCTGCCATTGCGATACGTGATCTGTACACTGGGTGGAAGCTGCTCCAGAGGTTTGCTTGGCCCTCCTTCAAAGTCTATGGGTGGTTAATATGTGCAAAAGTAGATATGAGGCATTCAATTAAACGGCATTCTTCTACAGGTGCGGATGTGAAGGTCCATTAATTTATATCAGAATTTTGTTGACGTTGTGTGTCCATGTGTATGGATACCCTGCCGTGGACTAGATATAAAAACAAGTTCTAAAAACCTCGGTCATGCCTCGTTTTATATAGTTTTTACTTCCTACAAAAGACTCAGCCTTGGCATTTATCCCATACACTCATACCTTGGTTATCCGGACCCCAAAGTGATGGGCACTTCGGTCTACTGGGCACCCTTTGTGGAAACATTACTACTGTTTTGTCACTTTTGTGGAAATAGTCACGCCACATGCCATATCTATGGCCTTTCTCCATAAACATGTATGTGATTTGGAGTTACGGACATTTTGAAGTTACGGGCAGTGCCCGGTCCCGGACGGCCCGGATAAACGAGGTATGAGTGTACATACAGTAAAACCTGTGACTAACGACCACCCCTTGGTGCCAGCAAAAGCGGTCTTTAGTAGCAGGTGGTCTTTAGTTAGAGGTTTGCACCGTGCGACCATATATGGATCCCATTATATGATATGTATGTCAAAATGCAGCTAATAAAATTCCCCAGGACTTGCACAATGCCATTCTTATTTCAGGTCCAACCACACTTGGAGAGAAAGACGGAGAGATGGAGAGAGACACAGAGAGAGAGAGAAGATTATATTTTGCAGACATCAAATCCAGCTGCTACTTCTGAAGCCAGGAGTCAAACGTTCCCTGCGGAAGTTTCATTTTGCGCTGGGCTTTAAATTTGTTGTCGACTAATCGTACCGACTATCCTTGTGGGACTTCTCGATTGCTTGAACGCGATCCTTCAGCATCAGGACCTTGCGGTGCTGCTTTGTTTCTGTATTCCTTGGTGCCATCGTCGATTCGTCTGTATGACTGGGGTGACATGCAGAGCCGCTCAGTCTTCGTTTCTCCTCCGAGTATTAACATTGGTCAGAGAGCGCTTTCAATGCGCTCTCCAAGACGTTTCGTATCATGTTTATTCTTGACAGCGCTTGGAAATTTGACAGGTGTAGTGCAGTCCACACCGACTCCACAGTCAAAATGACCTGCATTCATTTGTTCAGCTGTAGTATCGAAAGATTCCTTTCAGGACCATGGAAAATCAGCAAAATTTCAAGAAGGAGCTTCGAGCAGCATTTGATTTCCTACATCGCGGTCGCTAGTTACGGGTCAAAAATCGTCTTCGGGACAAGAAGAGGCGGTCGCTGGTCGCGTTCAGCAGGTAGTCGCTAGTCACAGTGCATTTTGAATGTGAGACCGTCTGTGCCTGGCGCAGTGGTCGGTAGTACCAGGCTGGTCGCTAGTCACGGTGGTCTCTAGTTACAGGTTTTACTGTATCTACAACTTGGAGTCATGTCTCTGGTGTGAATGAGGTCAGCCAGAGAGTGCATGTGGTGGTGGTGGTGGTGGTGGTGGTGTGTGTGTGTGTGGGGGGGGGGGGGGTACTTCATTTAATATGTGATCGTGTTTGAGTGGAAGTTTGTATCAAAGGCGGATTTACATATAATTATTATAAATTGATAGTAAAGAAAAAAGGACAAAGAAACTACAAGTTACGCTATAATGTCCGCTAACACCACCAGTTACCAAACAATCAGCTCATGCGATTACATTGCACGACACTGACCGACGGTACTGACGTTCTACAACTAACTGGCTAACAGCTCTAGCACATCTTGGATGCGCACTCCAACAGCCTTCCAACTTGTACTTCCTTGGTCCTGTTTCTTTTCTAGTGTTGAAACGAGCGTATCTATAACAAACGAGCGATCAGTTCCACTAACACGCAAGCTATCGAGCGAGCGAGTAACGAGTTTCATTGATGTGGCAAATAAATATTTTTTAGATATTTTTTTCTAAGTTCGATTTTTTCAGCCGCTTCAAAAATATTATCACCGTCGGCATTTATTTGGGGTTGCTGCTGCTTCACTTCGGACTGCTGTTTGGTGTCGAGATGTCTTTTCAGCACCGTCGTTGAGCAGCCTTTTGCAAAGAATAGACCGTTTTCAAAGATTCCAAGCAGCCCTGTTCTTCGCTGCATTGCGGGACAAAACTTCCAAACGACTGACTCGAGCGTAACTTTCACTCGAATGGAGAGTTGACAGAAGAATGTCCTGCAACAGGTCAGCAGATGCAGAACAAGACATCAGTGGAGTCCACCAAAGCTGCAACGACAACTGAAACAACTCAGTGTTGACATGTCGTGCAGGTAACTGTAACTGCGAGTGATTTTCACTTTGCGTGGGACTGGACTCTCGATCGACCAGGAGTCGCAAAATATTCTACGACTCCCCGGTCGACATGTGCTGCCATGTGTACGTAGTACGGTGTACAATGTTCGTTAGCGCAAACGAGCTGGCCGCACAAACGAGCCGAGTTTTTGACGAGCGAGCTAACGAGTACCCGGTGAGATCGTTTCAACACTATTCTTTTCTATAAATTTATCCTTGGCTCTCCATCCGAGTCCATTATTTATATAAGGTCAACTCAGGCTGCGTTTACACGGAGACGAAACGAAACGGAATGAAAACGGGCTGGCCTAGAATCGTTTTCAAACCGTTTACACGAGAACGGAAAACGGGCGATCAGGCTGGAGTTAGCACGTGCTGGCTTGGCGCAAGGGCGGGAACACGTTAGTTGGAGTTGGTACGTGCTGGTGGTCGCAAGGGTTGGGTATTTCCCGCGAAATATAGTCCCGCGCGGAATGGTTTCCATGACCGCACTCCGTTTCCAATCGTTTTCACTGTTTTCACCGTTTACACGAGAATGGAAACGTTTTGAAAGCGTTTTTAAAACGTTTCAAAACTTTTTGAAGTGCGTTTCCATTTCGTTCCGTTTAGGTATCGTTTCCGGGCTTTGTCGTGTAAACGATAGTAGTAAACGCAACGATTTCGTTCCGTTTAGGTCGTACTTCGTTGTCGTGTGAACGCAAATCGTTTTCAGTCGTTGTCGTGTAAACGCAGCCTCAATCTGCAGACAGAACTGTTTTGTCCTTTGTGGACTCATCAGCGCAGCACAGGGTCAATGTATTTATTGGCTGGAAACTTATGAAAAGTCAATAAATACTGTTTATAAAATACCACTAAGGCCAATAAACACTGTTTATAAAATACTCCTTTTTACGGAAAAGTGCAGTGGTATTTATTGAAGAAGAGGTTGGTGCGACTTCGGCAATACTTTGGGAATTGTGTGTTGCTCCGTACATGGGAGCTCACGCTTTTCCTGCCGACTTAAATTCTCATTTATCGAGTCAAGCAAATTTATTTCAATTGGAAACTGTTGATGGCATGGTCACTAATTAGTGTGGGTATTTAGTATTTACATGTATGAAAGGTCAATATAATTATATTCACACAAACACTACGACTGTCACGACGTTGACATGATGTTCAACGTCATGAGATTATTTGCAGTACACGTCATAGTTTGTGTTCTCTACCCCGGTTTGTTTCCGCGTTCCCACACCGAAGCGGGGCCGCGTGTTTATTATTTCTACTGACTCACTCGCCTCTTGGCGACTTCCTCCATGTTTTTTCCTCCTTTTTTGCTCTGCGCAAGCGCCTTGCGCTTTAGTCGTCGTCTTCTTTCAGTTCACAGCAAGAACAATAATTTTACCTCTTGTGCAGTGTCAGTCAAATTCAGTCAAATCAAGCTCTCCCGATCCCAAGAAACTGTCTGGCGTGTGCACAAAGTGGTGCCGAAACCCGGGACATGAACCGCACCGGAGCTCGAAACGAGCCGTGCGTACCATTCCAATCTTGAGAAAGATAGACTCGACTCAAATAATTTGTAAGCAGCTTGCCCGATTTGGGTCGTCGAGCTAACATGCCGAAGAGAGCAGTGACGACCGGCACGCAGATCATGCGCCGGGCCAAGATCGCGCAGCTGCAAGGATCCATCGACGAACTCGTCAAAGAGGCCGAACTCCTTTTATCGAAGGAAGGAGGTCAAAGGGCCGACGAGTTGTCGCCAGAACACGTGGACTCGGATCCAAAAAAGCTAAGTACACTTGTGGATTGTATTGTTGAAGAATTGTACGCATATGATGAGGCGTGTGATGCATTGGCCAGTGTTTTGGACTCGGAGACTCTGGAGGGTTCAGATGAGGCTCTGCAAACGGAGATCTGCGATGTGGTTGCGTATTCGGTACGCATCAGAGGGTCAATTGTTGAATGCAAGCGATCTCCGCAGTACAGAGCCCAGACGAACCGTCCAGAAGCTGCTACTACTAGTACTAGCTCACCAAGTAGCACCAAGAGTACGGGCAGTGCGGGTATCAAACAAGAAACTAGTATGGTTGATTTGTCCAGCATCCAACAGTCAATAGGAGATCTTGTTCGTACGCAGTCTATTACACATAGTCAACACCAGCAAGTATTACAGTCGCAAGAGGATCTAATCAAACAACACCAACTAGTCGTACAACACATGCAAGCATCATCACCTCAACCACAACCAGCTCCCACAAGTTCAGTCAATTTGCCCAAATTTGAAATACCAACATTTTCTGGTGATTTCCTGAAATGGGCTGAGTTTCACGATATGTTTGTTGCGTCTATTGATGCGAATCAAGGGTTGTCGGGTGTCCAGAAACTGTCGTACCTAAGAGATCACGTAACGGGTTTGGCTCGGGATGCCATAGCTGGCTTGCCCATATCAGATACCAACTACACAACCGCGCTTGACATTCTCCGCAAACGTTTCCGGGAATGATCAGCTTCGCGTCAATGCACACTACACGGCAATCATGGACTTACCGCCTGCGTCCAACGCTACTCCATCTTTGCGTAGGTTGCACGATGCGTTGGAGGTGCACTTGCGAAGCCTCACAGCGCTTGGTGAGAATGTTAATCAGGCGGTGTTTGTGTCAATGATTACGAACAAATTGCCACGCACCACGCTAGCGGCTTTGGAATTAAAAAAGGGGC